TCGTTCTGCCCACATCCTTCCCGCTTTTTCTCTCTGTGATCCCCCAAACCTTTTCCTCTGTCTTCTTCAAATGTGTCCCCACATTACTGCCACTACCTACCCTCTGTCCACAGCCTGAGTTTACCCTTGCCTCTCTGATAGCTGTGTCCCTGGCTAATTTGTAACACACTCACCCTAAAATAGGCCCATAGAATAAACACCCAGACCTTGCCCACACTTGAAGCTGGAAGGCAGCCTCTCAGTTCACCCAGAATAGTCTGCAGACGGAGGGTGCCATGGCGCCAGCTCCTCTTGGGTGTCCTGCCTCTGCTGGCTGAGCAGTGTCAACAGGTGACAGTGGCTCTGCAGTGCAGACTCTTGGCCTTGAAGGAACTAAGTCACTAGACTTTTACTCTGGCCTTCCTGCCATGTGAATTAACGGGCACTACCCTTGGCCCAGTGCATCAGGGGGCTTCTGAAAACAAAACTTTGATTTTTTTTTTTTAAAGAAAACAAATACTGGGGAAAATTCATCAAATTTTGTAAGTGGGGGAGATGTTTGCTTTGTTTATCCCATGCACTTGCAATGGAGCCAGATTTGGCTTGTGTGTGTGTATAATGTGCACGCAAAAAAAAAAAAAAAGAAAGAAAGAAAGAAAAAGAAAAAAAGGCTTAGCTATTGCCAGATCCCACGGTACATAAACAGGAATATCTGTGATATTAAAATTTTATGGTAAGGGGACAACTTGGAAAAAAAAGTAGTTGAGAAAATACCTGGGAGGGAAAAGGTTGTGTTTACGCCATTTTCCAGGTCAAGCCTAATCAGGACACTTAAACTATTACCAAATAATATCTTCAAGGCTGTAGACACTTGTGTTCCCGCAGCATGCCACCTTTCCAGGTGTCCCTGTCCTGCTACGGCACCTACACAGTGCTTGCATTCTTCTGCCTGCTTTGCAAAGCCTGTTTCCAGACTAAGGTCCAGGAGAGAAGGGGCATGTGCACGTGTACACACACACACACACACACACACACACACAAAGGCTGCTCAGTAGGATGGCCAGTTTTTTCTCAGTTTAGGTATTGTACACAGTAGAATTTTGCATTCTTTTCCCTGCTCCTTTAAAATATTTTTGCCACTAGTTGAAAAGCAGATTTGATAAAACTGATTAGATCAGGCACATACTCCCCCCACCCCCTACCCCAAAAAAAGATTTCTTCACAGCTGGTGCTTTCTGTTTGATCAACTTTTGAAATTCTGGGCTCCATTAGTGCTAAAATCACTGATGGAATCAAATTGAACAATCTAGGCTTCTATCAACCTGTACACATTTGGATCTGAAAGGGATAAAGGAACATTTCATTTAAGTAGTTTATTTTAGAAGAAACTGAGGCAGAGGGGTGCTGGGTACGACCTAAGCCACTGGGCAGGACCAGGACTAAAGCAGCCTGGGCTAGCCCAGCACCTTTTGCTTTTTGTTTAGATCCCACTGACTAGGTTTGGGGATTCAAGATTTAGGAAATAGAGTCATTAGTGTCAAAACCCCACAGCAGGACAAGAAATTCCATCTCTCATTCTGGAACATGGGGATTAAAGATGTAATTTGAGCATCTCCTCCCCGTTGCTGGGCAGTATTTTAGAGGAGGGCAGTACTTGCTGGCATATGACATCATTGGCCTCTGGAAGCTAATTTGATTTTAGTGATTTGTTTTTTGTGATAGGTCACCTTCCTGTTAAGATGCTTTCCCCACACCGTGATTTCTGCTCAGTTTCCTCTTAATGGCTTCCCTCTTATTGAAGAGCAGCGGTAATACAGATAAATTAAGAAAAACTCATGCAGTTGTTTTTTTTTTAAATTCATTCTTACCAAGTTTCAGCTTTCTTCCTTGTTAACCCTTCTCTCACAGCTGCTAACAATGAAGGCTGACAGCTGAAGAGCTGTGAGCAGTTCCAGGGGAAAAAAGCTCCAGTGCATTAAAGAAACATCATCTTAGAACTTAATGCCAAACTTTAAAATTATCAATTCTGATAAACATAGATTAATAGTTTTGTTTACAAACTTTTAGATGTAAACTTACATTATCAGGTTTTGACACAACACATTTGAACATTGCTACATAAATTTCCATTGCAAACGAATTCAATTAGAAGAGCACCTTCCCCCCTCCAAGCAGAATTTCCATTAAGCAAATGATTAATGTAATAAAGGAAAAAAATCCTGAATGTTGGGATGTACCATCATATTTAACTAGCTTTATTCTGTCCGTGTTCCCCTTCCCTCTCTCTCCATTAGAAATATTTGGGGCGGCACTTGGCATCTGGTCAACTAGAAGTTCTCTTTTGAGAGCCTGTCCTCACCCAGCAGACCCTACCTGTGTGGAAGGGTCCATTCAAATGCTAACCTGCACTTACCAGGGTGAGACAAAGGGCCAGCTGGGAGACTAGTGAGTTGGGAATGTTTGGAGAACTTGCTAGAAATGTCTCTGGAAAAGGAATCCTAGTGCCAAAAGTGGGCTTCGAGTGTGTGTTTAGCAAAAGCCTCTTCCTATAGTGGGTTGTGTGGGCTTCCACCCCCCAGGTTGGTATACTTCTTGGTTGCTTTGTTTGGTCCAAATGGCTTTTTTACCCTGAAAAGGCAGTGGAAGAGAAGAAGGGTGGGGGAGGGGACTGAGGGGGGATGTTTGCGGTGGTTAACAGATTTTCACAATTGGGTAGTAATTCATGGATCTTCTACTTTGACTTGGATAGCTTATGAAAAATATTGTCTGAAAGATGCAATCCTAAATTGGGGACCGGCCACCCATGTATGAACCTGGTGCATTGCTTAGAGTTAAGGAAGCCAGCATCCCTGCCCACCCTCCCCCCTTTCTTTTTAAATCAGAACAAGACTTATGTAAAGCATGAGCTAGGCACCAAAGACCTTTTGAAAACTAATTCATTCCACAAACAGGCAACATGCTAATTTAGCGAATGAAAAAACTACCTCTGCAGAGAAACATGTCACCCTAGACTACCCAAACTGTGAACATAGCTCCCACCTTAGAAAGGAGGCAAAGCCGAACAGAACTCCTGGCTTCTCTTGCCTGTTAACTAGAGCCCTTTGTTTGGCGAATTCAGGCTACTAAGTCATTATCAGATGAAAAGCACATAAATATCACCATAATTGTTTATGTTAAATAAAAAATTTCAACTTAGGGAGAGTTCAATTTATCCTAGGCAATTTCATATTTTCAAGACAAAAAAGCAGGGCACCATGGCCCTTCTGCGGGTACTCGGAATCCCTCAGACTTCTGATATCAACATACTGCCAAAGTAAATCCTTGCAAACAAACTGCCTTCCCGATCTGGCGTCATTAGTCAGCCCTGCATAACCAAATTCTGGGGCTGCGATGCCTTCCCAGGGCAGAGGTTCTGGAAGGAAAACCACTTAAAAAGAGTTTTCCTTCTAGCAGTATCCCTTTTCTTACATTTCACAAGCCATCAAAACGCTTTATTTCCCCGCAAATGATTCCTATTAGAATCACTCAAGCCCGTGCAAGAGCAGACGCACGCGCGCACGCCAAAAAAAAAAAGAAAGAAAGAAAAAAAAAATCAGTCTCCAAATCAGGTGAAATTTTATAAATACGTGTCACTTATTAATCCCCCCACCCACAAACACACCCCGACAGGAGAGAAAGGCATACCAAGGTGTGTTGCCAGATTGCCGCGGCGATCACCGGGGTAATTTCCCCCAGGTTACAAATTCCAAACTTAGCTCTACCCGATCAAAAATGGCCGGAGCGCGCCGCCTCTCCTCCCCAAAGGCTGCCGAAGCCGCCAGCCCCTGCCCCTCTCAACGCCCAAGGACTGGCGTGCCGATCCAATACCTTTCCCCAACTTGGCTAGGACCACGCTCTTTGGGGACGCATTGTACGATGAAGATAGACCCCCCCCCCCCCCCGCCCCCACTCCAGCCTGTTCCTTTTTCCGCTTTACCTTCCGGCTCGCGACCACCTCGCGGATCTCAGCCCTTCTCTCCCGCTTCTAGGGCCATGCGCAAAGAGCCTAGGACCTCTCCAGCCAAGCTGTGCCCAGCACCGCCGTCTTCCAGCTGAGCCAAAAGATTGGAGATACCCCGACGTGACCAAGCCGGCGCTACCTACCCTGGGAGCCCATAGGAACACCCCCAAAGACCCCTGCATCTCCACTGCCTGCCCTCCAAGTACCAGTACTCGCCGGAAGGTGCGGTCAGCGGAGAAATTGACTCTGGGGCGCACAGCAGGTGCGCACGCTCTTTTCCAAGATCTCCGGTCCCGCTAGCGCTTGAAGGCAGGCGGTGGTGTCCAAGACTGGTGCACCGCAGAAGGGGGGACACAGGCGCCGAGGTCCCAGGGCTCCAAATTGGCAGCCCTGGGACCTGGGTTCCAGGCTCCGAGCCTGTTAGGCGCGGTGAGCGCCTGCGACTTCCCTCTGGAGCCGGCAGTCTCCGGAGTTTTCGCCCAATCCCATTCTGGTTACTTTTCTCATATTGCAACAGTGTCGCTACTGCGCGGCAGCTCCTGAATCCGGAAAGTTGGCGCGCGCACCTCCGAACCACATTTCGGGCGCCCGCCAAAGCCAACTTGTTTGACACTAATCTTTCTAGAAGGGAAAAAAAACGCTTAAAACAAGTTACTTACCACTGTCCTTTCGGTGCGCAGCTTGAAACCTGGGGTGCGCTCAGTATTCAGTCACCCGTTCGGCACCCTCGGAGACCTCAGGTTGTCTCCAGCGAGGCGCAAGGAGTTCCCCGCTGTCAAACAAGCCTTAGACCACCAGGGCGGTCCCAGCACATTGGGAAGATCTGGGAGCACTTGTCTCCTCACCCTGACCCTCCGTTCTGGTACTAGCCTGCTCTCTTCCCACCTTGCCCCTAAGCTGGCTTTTCCTTCTCTCTCCCTTCCTCCCCGCAGCACCCACACTGCCCTCAGGTTCCCCAGTTTAGCCTTGTGCAACTAACCTGAATCCATGAAAACAAGGAGAATCTGGACGACGTCCTCCATTAGTGACGCCGGATGGGGATGGGTCCCCTTCTGGAAGGGGACTCCGGGGACCTGTCGCGGCGGGTGGGCTTTCTTGGCTTGCAGCGGCGCTGCTGCTGCTTCTCCTTGGGTTCTTCAGACTCTTCGGGGTACCTCGTATCCTTGTCCTCAGGCTCGGGCTCCTCCCCCTCGCTGGGGCTCTCCGACTCCTCAGTGGTGGGCTGTGCGAGACTTGGGGAGGCGTCGGAGCTTTGCAACTTCAGAGCCTGCAGACGCTGGGTGAGAGATTGGTTGAAGGTGGAGCCCTTGGGCACTGCGGGGCCGCGCTCGTCTTCCGGCTCGGTCTCGGGCTCAGAGGCGGGGGCGGTCTCAGGCTCGGTCTCGAAGTCGGTCTCAGACTCGATTTCGGACTCGGTCTCGGTCTCGGTTTCGTAGAACTCTTCCTCGTACTCTAGGCACTCGGGGAGAGACAGCTCAAGCTCTGCCTCCTCGTGCTCGTGGTCAGATTCCGATTCGGGGGAATCGGGGTATACCTGGGCGCTGGAGCGATGGTGGGCGTTAAGGAAGCTCCGGCGCTGTTGGGCGGCCGCGCGCTGCTGGGCGCGGGCGTTGGAGGTGGCAAGGGCGCGGAGGAGCGCGATGGAGCAGGAGAGCCAGAGGAGAGCGGTGGCTGCCCGGCGGCCTATGGGCGGGCACAGGTCGTTGTAATTATGGCGAGCTCGGCGCCACTGCTGAGCCCGGGACCTCCGATCCATCCTCTTAGGCGCACAACGAGAAACCAACGCGCCCTCTGGCTCTGCAGAGAGCGGCTCCGATGCGCATTGGCTGCTGCAGCCGAAAAAAGTGCACCTTCCGAGGTGAGAAGCTGGGTCCGGAGGTCCCACTTCTACCTCGGGTGTGAGGAGAAAAACCGAAGCACCTACCTTCCTGACCACTTAAGAACTTTCTAAAGCTCCGCGCCTCTGCTTGCCTCTCCAAGCCAAAAGAAAGAATGGGAAAGGGGAAGAAAAAGGTCCGTCTCCTCCCAGGCTCCTCTCGCTAAGTCTAAGACTGCAGTCTAAGACCCGGGAGAGGTGCCTCCGCTGGTCCTCTCGCCTGGGAGAGGAAAGAGGAGACTGAGGCGAGGAGAGATGGGGCGGTGAGGATCTGCGAAGTTGCGCGCCCGGAGTTCTGCCGGGCATGTGCAGTAGAGAGGTGGGGGCCGCCTCCCCGCGAGCTGCTCTGTGGCGCGGAGCTGGTGGCGCAGACCCTAGTGGGCCGGCAGGTGGCAGGAGGGAACCTTGTTTGAAAGGATTTGGGCAAAGCAATGGGCGGGGGGCCTGATGAGTACCAACCCTTGAACCACCAAGCAGGCGAGCTAGCCACAGGTTGGAGGACTTGGGTAGCTGGGTCTGGATTCTTCTTGGGGTCAGCCCCTCTCCCCACCTTCTCAATGAAGTGAGCATAACCTTTGAGCAGCTAAAAACCAGACCGCAAAAGTGCAAATTTCGGGGCGGTTGGGGGGCCAGGAATGAGGGGCCATACGTGAGTATTAATGATCCAGCCCCAGGCATTTTCCAAGGGCTTAATAGTTTGAGGATGGTAACCTCAGGCAGTCATTAATCATGAAACCACCTTTGGCAGATCTGTTATAGTGACTGTAATTAGAGAAGCTTCCAGAAAATGTACACTCTGTGCAGTCTGAAATGGCTAGTTACTTCATGGACAAATGAATCTCTTCCTTAAGAAAGCTTCCCCCACTCCACCCACCCACTGCCGCAGTCTGTAGACCCATGGTTGGCCCCTGGTGAGCTGTCCAGGGAAGGTGTTCTGGATCACTGAATGAGGGAAGGCTTTCCTGCACTCTTGGTCAGTCTATACAACCAGTTCTTTGTCCCTGAGGTCCTCTTCAGGGAGCTATCAGATATCAGAATCCTCACTGGATACCCCTTAGAATTCATTCAACAAATACTCATTGAGTGCTCAGAACATGTCAAGCTCTTGTAGGTGCCAAAGGCAGAGTAGCAAATAACAAAAGTCTTGTATTAAAGAGAGGATATTGAGGATTGATATGCTATTAATCAGAATATTAATAAATCATTCAGAATCCCTTCTTACCAGGGCTGGGGTTGTGGCTCAGTGGTAGAGTGCCTGCCTAGCATGTGTGAGGCACTGGGTTCAATCCTTAGCACCACCACATAAAAACAAAATAATGTGTCCACTTAAAACTAAAAAAATACTTTTTTTTAAAAGAATTCCTTCTTACCACCTCCCTCCATCATTGTTTAATTCAGCTTGAATTCTACATGAAAGGGGGAAAAAAAAAAACAGATCAATCAGAGTATTAGGGCAAGGGGGCATCCAGGCCCACCAATCATGGTGTTGAACTCTGAAGGCTGAAGAGTTGGAGTAAGCTAGTCCCACTTTCCCAGCCCTGGAAAATCAAATGAGCTCCACAGGGACAGGAGGACATCCCTGTGGTGGGGAATTCTTTGAGTTCCATCTATAATGTCACTGCTTCTTTTGGAGTACGTGTGTCTTCAGCCTTGCCCTTCCTGTTAAATACAGAGTGCTCCTTTGCCATGATGACAAGGCCAAAGGAGATAAATCTCAGAGCAAGACCATCTTCCTGGAATCCATGATATGTCAACAAGGGTGCTTCACTTGGAACATGTGTCACGGGCTAGGCTTTTTTCTCCTTGAGTCAATGTGGGACAACTGGAGGAAGAAGCCCTGCCTCTCAGCATCTTCTGCTTCCCTTTTGAGCTGGTCCACCAGGCATTCCCTCCTGGTGCTCCTTTCCAGGACTGAATACTCACCTGTACCATGGGATGTGAGGGATTGCCCTCACACCCTCCACGCCAGGCTTGTATTAAAGCAGCCAGAGGCAGAGCTAAGACCTTAGTGAGATTCTAGCCACTGCTTTTGATGGTTGTTTTTCGTTTCTGCATCGTGGCTGCATCTATATTGCACCTCTTGTTCTAGATGTCAGTTTGTAGCATTAAAATACTGATTGGTCTAATAAAGTGCCATTGATTTGGCAAACACCATAAAAGGACCGTCATCCGGATTCCAGTTGTGCCCCACTCAAACACTCTGCAGAGAAACTCTGGAGGGTTTTATTACTACACATGCCAGCATGGTTCTAATCATGTGGGTATTATTATGTGACACTAGACCAGGGGCATTTGGAGCTGTATATTTCAAATCCTGATACCCCACCTTGCATCCCCGACTAATGGGGGATGTTTCTAAAGGGTCTGCTCATGTTGACCTACCACTTTCTTTCAGTTAGCATAGCTTCACTGACAGAGTACAAAACATAAAGACATTGGTCAAGCTGATTTCAGGGCATGTTGAGGGAAAAAAAATCAGAAACATTTGGGTGCAATAAAAGCCCTTTCAATGGCAGCTAATGCCAGCTGTCAGCAGTGAGGCAGGTTAGGATGTGTTCATGTGCATGGGTAGTCCTTCATTCTTTAGATGCAGTGCTTTATGCCTATTAGGAGATGATAGACCAGAGCCGACTCACTAATATAGATACACAGAGATCACCTGCATTATTAAAAAAATATGAATTATATAATACATATTTTTGGACAAGTCTCTGCATTAGCAATGCACTTTCTTTGCAAGATGCATTTTAATCAGCAAAGGAACATTTAACAAAACACTGCATTTTCCATCCCCAGTCATGTATAGCTACAAATATGTTTTGGTGTGCATTCAACACAGACTCCAGGAAGAACAGGGGACTGCGCTAAAATACTGTTCCATCTTGCACTTAGTGCCGAGGTCGAGCAAATGGATCTGTGCAGAAAATGCTCTTTAAAATGCATTACGTGCATGACTTTAAAAAGTGCTTGCTGCAGAGTGAATTTCAAAAAGGACCAAGTGGGTGATGAACGACTTTGGCTGTTACCAGGCTAAGGAACAAGGGGCTCTCTCTGTCTTTCGGTAAATAAAGTGTGGTCGTGTATTACCTTCGGGGCTCTGCCAGGGGGAGTCTCCTAAACCAGTTGGACAGGAAAACGCAATTTCCAGTTCATTACAGTATCATACAATAAGGTTTTTATTTGGATGAATTGTGAAGAATATTGTCTTCAGCCCGTTAAAGATTGTTGTGTGGAAGAAGCTTTAAGAATTACTTTATGTGGCTCCAGAGGGCAAAATTAGAACCGATGGGTGGCATTTACAAATAGTTTTTAGTTTAGCTTAACCCAAGGAAGAATATTTTAACAGGCAGGACACTGAAGTGGAATGGGCTGTCAGGGGTTGCTGGTTCCTTGTCAGAAGCAGTGTTGAGTCAAAAGGACAAATGACCACATGTTGGAGATGCTTTCCACAGGGCTCCTGAGCCGGTTGTCTGAAGCTTATCATTGTCATATTCATCTCAGATCTGATTCCATGCAAGCATTTGGGGCTATGGAGTGGGGCAGGGCTCTACCAAAGGATAGTCTTTAACTCTTGTTTGTTTTAGAAGCATTTGAAAGTGCTGGTAGCTCAGTGACAGAAAGGAATGTTTGGGGGCAGTTCAAGATACCTGCACACAGGTGGATGTGGATGTACCCACAGCCTGTGGTGGGGTTCTGCAGGGCGCTGAGACTTTCTGCTCCATACTTACTTGTTGGAACAAAAATGTTGGTCGAGTCCATCTATTAATTACATGGGTCCTCTTTGCCTCCCCTCCTGGAGCTGTCTCGGAAATTACAAATGAAATTGGCTATTTAGCAATCATGATTGAGTCACTTCCATGACCAAGACACTATTCCTGGCATTGTGGGGAGATGGAAGTAATTGAGGATGAGCAATTCCTGCCATCCAGCAACACGCATATCACTGTGAAATGCCCCTGAATATTAAGAACAGACTGCCAACAGGTGCAGAATAATAAATTTCACACCAGAGAGATACATGGGGGAGGGAAGCTGAGTAGCAGTGATTGGGATCAGAGGTACAGTTCATCTGGTGGTTTTCTGAAAGAGGTGATTTTTTGTTTTGTTTTGTTTTAAAACCAGGTTGGAGACTTTGAGATTTTCTTTTTGTTTTATTTTAGTTTTTTAAAAGCCCATGAGAAGAACTGCTTTCAGTCCACCTGTTCGCATGTATCTACCATGTGCAAAGCCACGTGTTGGTCGCTCTGAGAGACAGAGATGAATTGCATAAGATTTTAGAAGGCTTGCAGGCTATTGTCATAGGTCCCGTGGACACCAAAACATTTTCCAAGACAAGACTCAAGATAAAGAATTGCTCTGCCTGGCGAGTGGGTATAATCGCTCTTGAACATGTTTTTTTGGACAATCATTGGAAAAGACTATTTTTGGAGATGGAGAGCTTTTCAAACTTTCCTTTGGATAGAAATGAATTCAGGGACTTTGAAGTACTCCCCACCCCTCGCTGTGGCAATCAGCCAGAAAGGCTCAACCCACTGAGGCTTTGGCATGGGCCGCCCCTGCTTGTTCCCTAGGAGGACTGGGTACAATACAGCACATTTGGCTCTTCTCTCCAGGGTGCTGTTTTGCGTTATTTGGATTGTACTGATCTCAGTTGACTTTCACCAGTAGAAATGGTGAAAACCTCTAGTTTGAGTTCATGATTTAGGGGGGATGCTGCCTAGAGCTAAAAGCAAACAATAGGGGGAAATAATCATCTTTCTGCTATGGCTGGGCTCTGTCCAGGCCATTGTTGGGATTACAATGCTGTGTTTGTACTGTCCTTTAGAAAGGAAGACAGGATCAGCAGAGCTCCAGTCCTGCATGCAGATCATTAGGGGTATCTTCTCAGGAGTGCCCTTTCCTGTCCTTTCACTTTATGCTCTATCAGGTTATCCCACTGATGTCACACCTGTCTCCTTCCCTCTCTGTGTTAGGGGAGGGGCAGTTTCTAGAAGTGTCTAGAAGCTCCTCACTTTTGACCCTAGAGCTCAGCTTTTGTGTGGCAGCTGGTTCAGCCTCTAGACTGACCACTTGCTTTGTTCTATAGGAATTGGGACTAGATTCTGCCTCCTGAGACTGGACTTAGACTTAGCTTGTCTGGTTCTTTCCTATGGTTGGCTGAGACAACCCTGTCCAAAGATGAGTCCAGCTTTGGTGATTTGGGCCTCAGATGTCTACCTTTACCCTGTATAGTATCTTCTGCTTGGAGCTCTTGGGCCACTGATTGCAAAGGGCCACCCAACAATCAGGA